CATTGCAGGTAAGAACTGCAGTGGAATGGGATGGTTATAAGACAAAGCGAGAAGTGTTCATGCTATTCAGAGGAACTCATCTCACAACTATTCTATTTGGGAGATTTTACTTGGTATTTATGGTATTTTATTCTCCTCGATTAGAAGTGTATGCACTAATTTTGGTAATTTTTTGACGATAAGTTTAGCAATACTATTTTCTGGGTACCTATCCCGATTTCCTGGAAATGTATACTTTAGTTCATACTGACAAGACACTGAATTATCATTTTAATTTTGAGGTCTTTTGGATTCCACAGATGTGCATCTCTAATGTTCTTCTTTGCATTACCAAGTTAATACTTGAATCAGGATATATACGAGACTAATTCTGCTGCAAAATGTTAAATTAAGTTAATCTAGAGTCTATTACAGTGTTATATGATCCCCCATACTTCAAATTCCTGATATATAAAAAACATGTAAAATGACCTTCATGCATCAATGCATATTATTCTGAATCCTTTCTATCCCTTCATTTACAAATCATGGTGAGGAAGACGAGATAAAACCAATACCATTGTTAAACAATAAAATAGTGTGGATTCTCATTCATATTTCAAAAGCTACAACTACTCCCCTTTACATAGGAATATAATAACAAGAAGTTTATTGTGTAGTCAATGTGGGACAAAACACAATTACTTAATCACAATTGTTCTATTAGTTACATTCTTAATATCTCTTAATCACCAAATCTCTAATTTATACTCCTAATATATTATTCCTAATATAACTATAATATTAAAGATCTCCATAATATATTCCTCAACAACCATAAATAAGAAACAATGTTTGTAATTACATAATCTATCATTACTAGACATGTCAGAGCAAAGTTAAGCAATACTAATTGTTATAACGTGCTAAAGACATAACATACAATAGCAAAAGAATGCTTAGAGAACCCAAGATGATGCCTAAGTGCAACTTTACAAAGAGCCTTCCCCTCAATATTGTTTGCAGAATACTTTGCAGGAAGAAATTTGTCTTTGGAAGGATCAAAATTTGTGCCATCAAACCCATAGGGAGTAATCAACAATTTGTCCCTAGCAAAGGAAACATACCCAGTAAGAAAGATACTAAGGACAAATTTTCAAAACCAACCCTTTTGGTTTTTTATTTGTAAAAAACGACCTATTTCAGTTTTATTTGCAAAAAACGACCTGGTTTCAGCCTCAGCGCTAAAACCTAAAACCAGGTCGGTTTTTGAAAAAAAAGTTTCCGAAACTTCACGGGAGTTGAACTCCCGTGAAGTTTAGCAGCTTTTAATTAAGTTGCTAAACTTCACGGGAGTTTAACTCCCGTGAAGTTTCGGAAACTTTTTTTCAAAAACCGACCTGGTTTCAGCGCTGAGGCTGAAACCAGGTCGGTTTTTATAAATATTTGGAAAATGGGTCGTTTTTTACAAATAAAAAATCAAAAAGGTTGGTTTTGAAAATTTGTCCAAGATACTAAAGGTTCACATTTTACCCAGCAGAGACCAAGAAAGCAGTGAACCTACAAACAGCATTTGAATCCTAATATTGAGGAATTTCTCCATGAAACAACAATGGGAAGAGTAGAAAATTTACTCACCTATGAACAGCTAATGTGGGTTCCAATTCATGGCCTGAACATTGGATGATTTTATCAATTGAATGACTTGATGATACAAAAACTACTTTGTTGGAATAAACAATCCCTCCCTGACAAGACGTAGCAAAATGTAGTTTAGAACTGAAATTTATGAAAATAATTAAATAATAAAGTGGAGCAAGAAGAAAAGGTATACCTTTAAAATATTAATGAGATTTTTGGAGCAAGAAGAAAAGGTATACCTTTAAAATGTTAATGAGATTTTTGTTGATATTATCTTGCAAACGATCAGCACGGTGAAGTCTATGAGAATCTAGTCCACAAGTCTCTAGCTTATCCGGCTGTTCAAGACACTACAGAACATAATATAAGATTAGAGAAGAACTAATAATGCAGGAAGTACTAAAAAGCTTTTTTTATAACTAAGTTCATAGAGGCCTCTATTTCAAGGTGGTTGGTATGAAATGACACGAGACGTGTTAGTTGGAAAATGCAGTAGGGAGCTTTCAAATGTTTGTCCTAGGAAAGAGAATGAACCAGGAGGCTCTTCCAACATCAAAAGAAAGCCTCTCTAGTACGTTATGTAAAACGATTCACCTCATAAAATCGTTGTCATGTTGAGAAATTGAGATCAGCATAGGTAGTTCAAAAATAACAACCACTTATCTCTAGCAGAAATATGCAAAAATACAAGACAAGGTACTATAGAGAAAGTGAAATATGACCTAGGTTAGCATATGTAAAATTAGCTTCTATTACAGAAGTCCACAATCCCCATCCAATAAGATAAAATAGACAAGGAAAGAAAGGTACAAGAATAATTATCAATAGAAGTTGGGCTGTTGGAAGCTGTTGAGACTGATGACATGAAACCAAATCACTGAAAAAACCTTTCAGCCACTGCTTCAAGTTGGTGTTTACTGAATGAAGATGCTATGTTTACTGGTATCTGCATTTAATGCATCCATGCCCTTTTTAAATTTGATTATCCATATACATGGATAAGACATACGACACACGTGTGTACATAAATATATGCATACATGTGTGCTTGCATACGTATGCGTGCCACACACGTACATGTGGATGTGTGTGTTGCGTGTGTACCAAAGGAGGCTATAAGGTTGGGTTTATATAAGGTCCTCCATGTTCAAAAACTTTGTTTAGTGGTTTATTCCTAGGCATCTGCACGTCCTAGAGAATGAGAGAGTATTCTGAAGTACTATGCTTTTGAGTTTTGACCAATAGATATGCGACAGAGTTCTCACTTACTTGGGAATTCAAGTCATGGCATGTGAATACTAGTCGAGTTCCGCTGAGCCCCTAAAAGAAATAAAAGGGAAATAGTGACAAATAGAATTTTTTTCTGAAAACAGAGTCAGTATTTAGAATAAGTTTTAATAATGTTGCAACACAAAATCTTTGCACAAAATAAATCTAGCTATTGAAATATAAGATACTCATGGACAAAGATGATTTGTATACTTTGAAATTTATGCAGAATTACTATAACTTTCTCCATAAGGATGTTAAAGATTATATATTGCAAAAATTCTACAGTGGTACTCTCAGCAATTAGCTTAACAGTATTGCAGAAGTTACTATAGTAGTAGAGTGAACTTATGTCACTAAAAACAGAACAGATAAAGAGGAAACCCATACGTTCATTCATATTTCTATGGTTGAATTTCAAAGCCAATTGAAAATGCAAACAAAGGAACATGTACACATATTTACCAGAAAAAAGACTACAATTTCTTGTCAATGAAAAAAATCTGTCACTGATGCACCACAGAAGTGACTGAAGTCTAGGAGTTACCATGTCACTATAAATTCCTACATACTGTATCTTTTTTTAACAGTAATAGCATCAGGATAGTAGATTATAGGTTACTGTAGTCTGTAGCTGTTTTATATGGTCTTACACGTGGGGTGCGAACAGTTAGTTTGAATAGACTCAAAAAGAAAATCTTAAGAAAAATATTTCTCTCATCTTGAGCCAGCAAATAATGTGTGGACAAGGCAGTACTCCAATGAGATGTTAAGAATCCATGCTTAATATGTAACGATTTTCAGCAGCATCAAGGTAACGTTTGAGACAAGAACAGAACAATTTGTCCAGTTCCTTCCTTAACATCCCATGTAAAACCAGCAAATTTGCAATAAAATATGAGATTTTAGGAGCATAAATTTGATCATGGAACTTTTTTTTTGAAATGACTAAAATAATGGCCACCACATAATGTACTAAACTAAGAGAACAAAGAAATAGAACTGGTTCATATGTAGGCATTAGCTGTTTATGTACTCAATAGCTTAAAAAAAATTTTTCCAAAAGGTTTATCTTATAGGATATCAGAGCATCAGGTTCAAGATTGCCTTGATAAAAGTCTCACATGCAAGGGAAATGAACAGATTTACAACATCCGCCTGAGGTAAGCACTAAAAAGCAGACCGGTATAGTTACAATTATGTGTTTAAGGATAACAGAGATACATAGAAACCTAAAACAAACAATTAAATACCGACCTGGTGAACAAAAATATCCCAAAAAAGCGGCCCAATGATTGCAGTTTCCCAATTGTGTATGTGCAAAATATCAGGTTGCTTTCCAGATTTTACTAAATAGTCCAATGAGGCACGTGAAAAATACGCAAATCTGATAGACCATTGAAAAGAAACACATGTAAAAAGGTAAGTGGTATAAGAGAATAATTAGTAAGGTACTAAGGCCTGATTAGAGATCTGAAGTGTATGTCCTTGCAGCGAAATTTTCCTAATGGTAAAGCTTCAAAACATTACTTTGATCTATGCAATAATAAAATGATTGGTAAATTATCTGCCAGAAAACATTTTGACCCAATTGGTAAAGGAAAGCACACAATATGTAGCATTTTTTATCAGACCCTACAGTACAACACAATGATACTCTTTGCTACCAATAATACTTGCCGCTTGAAGTCGTCAGAGTACCCGCATATCAGGTCACGGTTGAAAAATTCCTGATGATGGAGAGGTTCAATTAATGCAACGCCAATATTGTTGATGATCCTGGATAAGGGAACAAGTGGCGAATTAGCTGAAAGGAAATAAAATGGATAGAGGACAAACATCAAATAAATAGGGTGGCCCAGTGCATGAAGCTCCCACCATTGTGGGCTCTGGGGAGGGTCAGATGTACACAGTCTTACATCCGCTTTGCGGAGAGGCTGTTTTTGAGATTCGAACCCGTGACCTCCTGGTCACAAGGCAACAACCTTACCGTTGTGCCAAGACTCTGGGGAGGGTCAGATGTACACAGCCTTACCTCCGCTTTGCGGAGTGGCTATTTTCGAGATTCGAACCCGTGACCTCCAAGTCACAAGGCAACAACTTTACCGTGCGCCAAGGCTCACCCTTTAGGACAAACAACAAATGATTTATTTTTTATAATATTTTTTAAGTGCGCCAAGGCTCACCCTTTAGGACAAACAACAAATGATTTATTTTTTATAATATTTTTTAACTTTAATTGAAACTAAAAAAATTATTTACTTAGAGAAAATGTTAAACAAGAGAACCAATAGTAGTAAACCTGAACAAGTAGTATCTGAAAAAAATATATGCTGATTAGCATTTCTCACCCAGTCCATATTCTGTTTCTGTGCCATCTACCACCAAAATAAGAATCTACTTCACCCTCAATTTTCCTTAAAGCCTTAATGGGAGCCAGGTTTATACTTGCATACCTGTTAACATCAGAATTCCTTGAGAAATTAGACTCCTGATTCTACCATTTTATATAAAGGATGCAGCCGACATTAATGTCTGTCTGAAATAAGAAATGAATAACACAAGAATAAAGAAAAGATAGCTTCAATCATCAAATCAAATATTTTATCCAAAACCATTTATTAGTGGAACTAACCTCTTAACCCCTAAAACCACTACGTGCTACTTGTAGAATATATAGAAGAATATTTTTTTTAATTTTTTCCACATAAAGATATGCCTGAAGGATTAACCGACCAAATAAGTGTACAAAAATTCATGCAGATCATTTAAGGGTGAACAATCTCCAGGAGTACAATTCTTCTAGTTGAGGTTCCATTCAATACTGCTCCAATTTGGAAACTGAGCTACACCTTGATATTGTGGGAGTCAAGGTTCAAGTTCGATGATAAGTCAACATGTGATGGTACATGGAATACAACTCGGGGAAAAATAATAACCAGGTTTTTGGTAGTGGGTTACAAGCTGACATTGACCCAATATGCTGGTGAAAAATTCCTGCCTGAACCACCATGAGCAAGCAAGGAGCTG